CACCTAGCCCTCTTCCACCCCCCCTCCCTTACCAAGACTCCACTCAAATTGCTACCATCTACCCATCTTTGCACTCCTCTCTGGCCCACGACCAGGCGGGAGAGCACAGGGATGGCAGCTGAGAGACCAGTGGCTTCGCTTCGTGGGCGACAAGTGTCTGATGATGATGTGGCGGGATTGTTGGGAAAGTATCCGGACAAGGTGGCGCTGGTGAACACGCTGGCGGTGACGGACACGTCACTTGCAACGGTTGCTCGTCTGGCACGTGAGGCGGCGATGGAAGGCGATGGAAGCACGTTCTGGAAGCTTCACTCTCTGCATGTCGAAGGGAGCAAGGTCTCTGATGTCGGTCTTAATCTCCTTGCTCGTGCACCGCTTCCTGTCCTCTCTGAGCTCTCCATCGCTTGGGCATCGCGGGTCACCGACAAGGGCATCTCCTCGCTGGTCAGCTGGGAGCCAAAGCCGGACAAGCTGACATCACTCTCGCTCGCTGGCTGCACCAAGATCACCGATGCGGGCCTCATTGACGTTGTTGACGCCTTTCCCAACCTCACGGCTCTTGATCTTACCGCATGCCGCAACATCACAGACTCTGGCCTCTCGGCGCTCGCTGCTCGCGGCGCTGTCCGTCTCCGTCGCCTTGTTCTCCGTGGCTGCGCGAGCGTGTCGGACGAGGGCGTATGCAACGTCATTCGCGCCGCCGGGTCACTCACCAAGCTCGATCTCCACGGTTGCCGTAAGATATCCGATGCTGTCGCCACCGCGCTCAAGTCGTACACGCCGCGGTTGGGCGAGCTGGTCCTCGACGGCTGCGTCCGCCTCACCGACGCCACCCCTGCAGCGCTAGCGGCTGGCTGCCCTCGACTGACGGCGCTAGATCTCTCTGGCCTGCGCCATCTGACCGATGCCGGCCTGGCCTCGTTGGCCGGCAAGACCAAGGCGCTGGCGCAGCTCTCGCTCCGATGGTGCCCGGGAGTGACTGACGACGGCCTTTCCGCGCTCGTCCGTGCCAGCCCCAAGCTGACCTCGCTCCACATCCCGGGCTGCACGCGGGTTGGCGACGCGACGCTATGTGCGTTAGGCTCGGCGGCGCCGCGGCTACAGCATCTGGACGTCCAGAGC